AGATTCTCGATTTTCAGAAAAGCATGTATGCTTCGGGCGATTTTGTCTGTTTATCTTTTGACTGGTTTCGTTGTTATTTCATGATGTACCTTTAGGGATGTGGCGAATTTTGTTTCAATAAGTGTACTAATTAAGATATTACCGAAGTAGCAATGTATATTAAATTTGTGGATAAAGTTTTCAAATTACGCCTGTCATGCACATTGTTGTCAGTGTTTACTTTAGAGTGGTGTGGTAAATGAGTTGATATTTTAGTCTGTAATAAGTGAAACGAATCAAGTGCAATGCTGTGATTGTAGAAGATCAGTTGAAGCCGTATTCGGAAGAAGAAAAAAGCAGTGCTAGAAATGCATATTGAGAAATTCTTCAGAAATTTGTGAACGTTAGTCTCGGAGACATTCTGAGGCAAAATCGCATAGTCATTATATTCTCGCATGGCACAATGATCACTTATCGTTTCCATTGCCTCCGGAAAAAAAAGTTTCTCAAGGGAATGGAATGAAGTGGGTCTTCAGGAATCTTCTGATTTTACAGCATGTGAATCAGTAGCAAGGAACGTGTTGATATTGTAGAGTGACAATGGAAAATTTTGAAATTGATGAAAATGAAAACGCTTTGAATTTGAAGGTACATGTGGTAGGGCATATAATGGAGTAAAAAGTAAACACTCGCTCGAGTTGAACTGATTCACAACTGAACGATGGTAACGATCAACATCGTTTCGGCTTTTTGATGTCAGCTGTGAAAACAAATTTCGCGTCGATGAAGTAAGTCACACAGTCATTCGCTCACATCTGTTCCTGTTGCAGCTATTCGGTTTTGTAAGCATTCCAAAACTCTGACAAATCGTTTAAATTTATGAATCTCACGATCGATCATTCATCTGTTTACTCAACGCTGCATTCAATTCACAAATGAAAAGCATCTGCTAGTCAAAGTTAAGCTGTATGAACGCTTCAAAAATTGAGAAATTCACGAATACTGTTGTACAGTTCAAAGCGTCGATGTTTTTCGTACTATAAATTTGGTGGGCGCTTCGAGTAACCGAAATTTTGCTTTCCACCTCCAAATTGAACGTTTGGTATTGATGATTGAACGTGAGTGTTAAAAACTGAATGAATCACACATCTTTTACTAATTGAAAATGAAATGTGTGGCAAAAAAATTGACGATGGAAAAAACCGCAAGGAAAACACACAGGAAATGGTTCAGTTTGAAAATGTGAATTAAACAGTTCTTAGAAATCAATTGATTCGCTAATAAATATGCGGCGAATTGTGCCTGCAAGAGGTCTCATTCGTGTGCATCTCCAATAGGTTCCCAGTAATCAGGTAACAAGCGATTTTGATGAGAGTTTAACTTGATATGTGAATTGTTAATGTGTAATTGTTGGCTATATCAATCTTCAATGTTTTACTGCTTCACCACAATCGTGATTTACTTGTATATCCACACGATTCATCTAATTTACTAACAAAATTCGTTTTCTTCAAAACATTCGATCAGATAGATCAAATAAAATTGTTGTGAATGGTTCATTTACACTTTGTTGAGGTGATCAGATCCTGAAAATTTTTTCGTAGCACCATATGATTGTTTCGAGTTGATTTCTTTTTGTTCAATGATGCACAAATACTGGTTTCATACAGCACTTCATTCGTGTTCGAAAATTTTCATTAGCCAGTGATTTTTGTGGTTTGTATTTGAGGTATTGCTCAGATTTAATCGCTTTCATTTCATCATCAATGAGCAATCTGTATGGCACCAATAATAACCATAAAACTATAATTATCTAAGCACTATCTAATCACGACCAAATAAGTAGTCGAATAATGAACGAAAAAAAAAACGGTGAGAAACGAAATTCTTTGTAATCGTTCGTAAAGGTCGATGAACAATTCAAATTAATCATTGCGAAACTGATACGAAAATTAATATGCGTTCATGATGATAAACCGTAAAAACCTGTATCAGAGAATATGACAGCATTCTCGTTCGTGAACTGGTCCGATTGATGTTTAGCGCTTAACGCTGAGACATTTTCGCCTTCGTTCCATCCTAACTAAAAAACATGCACATCAAGTGCAATGTTAAGTTCACATATTATCTGAGACAATTGGATAAAACGAAAACCTGTTGAGGGACATTGATGAATGACTCTCGGGAAATATGAATACTCTTAATGTGTTGACCAGTGAATCCCCTTAGGAAATTAGCAGCAGCAGCAGCACTAGTGTGAAATATCCTCTGGGTAAAAGTCAAAAGAGAAGGAACTCAAATCTAATATGGGAACATCTGAGTTATGATTAGCACTTCATTTTGCGTCAATTGTTTGCTTTTGCATGTCACATTCATTCATCATCATTGTTGCTATCATGAAAGTGGACCATGAAGGACATAAATAAGTTTGTTTGAGAGCGAATGAGTACAAACAAGATTGAGGAGCAGTGAAACAACATCATATAAATGGTCGTCGTCATGTCATATATGAAGATTGAGTTAAGATTGCATTAACGTCGTATTTGTTCATTGCATTTATTTGAGACATTCATTCGTGTTGTTGTGCTGTTGTTGTATATATAAGGAAGAATGAAGATTAAAAGCGAGTTGCTGGTTAAAGGGTGAACGAGAAGAAGAAGTTGTTGTAGAGTCAGTCGATTGATTTGATTATTGCTTGTTCGTTGAAGAAGGAGTGCAAGCAAGCAGCAGCAGCAGCAACCACAGCCAGCGACCCACCGAACCACCAACATACGCCTCAGAGAAGAAGGAGGAAAATGCAAATGCAAAGATTGATGGATGACAGATGAGGACAAGATAATGCACAATTGGAACGGACTTCTTGCTGCTTTGGCGTTGACTCGTCACTATTTTACTTTCGAAGTCTATCAGTTGAAACATTTCATTTGTAATGCCCATATTGTTCTTGTTGTGGTCAGTATCAACATTGTTTACTTTTCGAAAAAAGTGGCTGCAAATTCGGATTCTTCGGCAATAGATATCTGGATTCTTTTCAGTTCCTCAGTTTATTTTACTCCCATTGGCAACATAAAAGTATGTTACCATATTTTGAGGAGTTGATTGCATGATCGTTTAAGCATGAAGCACATTACCGTGCTCAGTATTACTCATCCCAGCACGACAGCAGTGATCACCATAATGATGATTACCAAAAGACGGACTCGCTGCAATTATTATCACCATCGGCAGCAATAATGTTTCAGCCGGTTCGCCCGCCCCACCGACGAAATAAAACTAGCAGCAGCAGCAACACAAATCAACCATTCAACGACAACAACGAACCAACCCCACAATACATTATATTATATTTTATTCATACATCTCATGTAATAATAATACAACATCTGTCTATTTAAATGGCACATTCATGAATTTATGTATATATAGACTCATACAACAATAAATTTCCTTCATTCATTCATTTGATTTCATTCAGTATTCAATCAACGAACTCGACTCGAATATAAAATAAAAAATTCATTCAATTGAATTAATTCAATGAAAATGTCGTTGGATTTTACATCAATCGGATGGATGGATGGATATCATCATTTCATTTCATTCTCTTCAAACTTCAGTGCATCTCATCCAACCGACCACTATCTCTCCATGAATCTATCATCAATTCCGCACTATGCATCAGTAACACATCAAATCTCTCTCTTTCAACCATCTGTCTCATCATTATAAACGTATCAACTTATCCGTTTATCTGTATTCATTATCTCTCCACACTTCCGTCAGCCATCATCAGTGTAATCTCGTTCATATCCATCAAATCCTTTGAAAGCGCGATTATCGTCCTTATCATTCAAGCCGAATGACCGACGGATCGATGATCATCTTTTTTTCTTAGTTATCCTCAGATCTTCTTTATTTATTCTTCTTCTTATTCTCACACTGATAAGCTTATCAATTGCTTTTCGCTTATCATTCAACCAATCATCAATAAGCACGCTAAGTTTCTCTGTCGTTGACGCTAAGTCGCTCGTGACCATTTGATGCGATAAGAGCGTGTCAATCACTGCACAAATGAGTATTGCATGTTGAGCATCTTGCGGCAAAAACGTGAATCTGTTCAGCGCATTTTATAGGGGAAGCAATACGCTTGACGAGTTTTCGAGTTTACATTTCGTGGAATCGCAGAGAGTTTTAGCTGATAGCTTATTTTTAGCAGTGCGCCAGTGTTGTTGTTGTTGCCTCCTGTCAACATTGGGTGTTCGTTCGCTCGTGTGGTCATTGGTTTGGTTTGGCGTTGTTGAGAAACGATGGACAATGCCAATGACAACGATGTGATTCCGTCGTCGATAATTCGCCTTGCCGAAATCCTACAACCTATTCCCGACAATACGCTTCGATTATGTGAACAAGTTGAGATGACCGAAGGTCGTATACCACTACAGGTTTCTTTTCAATGCTGATAACATTTGTTCAACCGTTTTTTTCCCATTTCTTCTGACAAACACAATTCAAACAACTCTGAATGAAAACATACTTCGTTTGTGTTTCATTGAAAAGCTGTTTCATCTACTATATGCACTGTCGCTTTGATCATTCGTATATAAACCGTCATCATGCAAGATCTTTGTATGATAGATTTCCCTCATCATAAAGTTATATGCTCAAGCTGTATGACAACTAGTGACCTCAGCAAACAAAACAGATAAAACTACAATTGGATATTCAATCGTACTGTTTCTCTCTCATCCTCTTCATACTGTCATGGATAAACAAGCTGAATTGAAAATTCTCATTGAATCGCCTCTTGAGCGAATGCTAGCGATCGATGACCGTTTATGCTCAGTTTCATGGCTCAGCGAAAAAAAGTGGATGAATGACTGCACGGATTTGTTCTCGCTTGATCTGTGATCGATCACGATCGCATGAATATTCCTCCACAGTCACGTTCAATTCGTTCTTTGCAAAGGCGGTGTTGATTATGACCTGTTATGAATATTTTTTCGGAATCAGTCTCATGCATTCATCTGTTTATTGCTTGCTATTAATATCCACCCATTTGTCGCTTGCTATCAGTGAATTGTGTTCATCCATTGTTTACTTTTTGTGCGTTTCGTCTTTGTTTCGATATCGTGAACATTGCTGCCGTAAAAACCGAAGTGTGCAGCGATATTACATAACAATGAAGCGTGCAATGCAGCAGTAGCAGTCAGTCAATTACACTGCTCAATCGTTTCGCTCGTGATCTTTTAAGTAGATATTTGTTTCTGAAACTGAACGTGAAATCGCTCGCACTCACTCAAATCCGCGATGAAAAACAGCAAGTTGGATTCCGTTTAATGTAAACTGATGACGACTGTCTTCATTTCTCTTTGCTGTTGGATAAGTGCTGAATTTTGTTCATTTGAATCTGCATATGTTCATTTGTTAGCTTGTTGAATGGAGGGGGACCGAATGAAAGAGAAATTGCGAATGTACAGATTTTTCAATAGAATTTTCAGAGGTTTTAATTTGGAATTGATTCATTTTGTCAGTTTTTGATAGAAATGATTGCGATTTTTGTTAGTT